ACTTTAATGCTGATTGAAATGCGTGGTTTCGGTAAATTTCCGAGCAATTTTTCAACAGCCACACCTGATATTGAGCATTATTAGTTGCTGGATCATTTGTCACGTAACCGTTACGGCCGAAATAGGTTTCCCATGTTGGATTGGAAATTTTCAGCTCGTTGCAACTATGCATTTTGAATGAGCGCGAATTGGGCCATAAGCAATTATTACCATAATTCCATAGCGGAGCATGTTGTGTAAATTTCGGCGATTACAGCAGCTGAAACAAAATGCGAAAATCCCAAGCGACTTAGCTGATATTTATTGCTGATCACCCAATAATTAATGTGTCGTAATAATTACCTTTCAGCAATTTGCCGATGTGCCATTAAATTCCAATGAATTGATGCGAAGTGCTTTAAGGTTCACAATTTTAGGCGATTGGAGCTTTATACATGGGTTCAGACTGTTCACGAATCACTCGCTTTAATACAGCTCTAATTGTGATTAAAATCGATAACTACTCATCAACAGATAAGTCATCAACAACAATGAGCCACTTTTTTGAAAATATTATTCCAATGAAAACAAATAAATCAAATCCAATGTTTACTTGCCTGTTTTGGCCGCTGAATGATCAGGGCAAATTTAAAAAAAAATCCCCGAAGAGGACCTAAATAGGCAAGTTTTTGCCAATTTGCATCTTTATAGAGGCAATTGCACTGTTTACAATGGAAGAATCCCCGTTGTTCTAGCTGCTCTACTTTGCTGAGAAATTCCATGTTTTCGCTTTCTCTTGTTTGACCTTTGCAATTGAGTAACAACAACTAGGTTGTATGCTCTTATTTTGGGAAAATTCGATGTTTTCACTTTGCCTTTCTTTGGCCTCTGAGTAACAACGGAGCAAATTTTCAAAAAATTCTCCAGAGCAAAACTGAAATGTGCACGCTTTTGTCGGGCTGCACCTTTAAAGAGCCGAATGCTCTGTTTAGAATGCCACAATCCCCGTTGCTCTATCTGCTCTACTTCATGAGAAATTACATGTTTTTACTTTCGCTGTTCATGCTGCGAGCGCATATGTTTAAAAAACTCTCGCAGTTGAACCTGATGATGGACTTTCCGAAACTCTCACTTGGCAAAACAGAAAAAAATACCTTTGAAACCGAATAACGGCAACTGCTTGGTTTGCTCTTATTTAGGAGCAATCCGATGTTACACTTTGCCTTTATTCGACCTTTGAGTAACAACGGAGCAAATTGTCAAAAAATTATCTACAGCGAAACTGAAATGGGACGTTTTTGTAAGTTTGCACTCTTAAAGATCCAAATGCTTTGTTTATAATTCCAAAATCCCCGTTGCTCTATGTGGTCTACGTCACGAAAAATGCCACGTTTTTACTTTCGCTGTTCATGATGCGGGTGCAGATGTTCAAAAAACTCTCCCAGTTGAACTTGATGATGCACTTTTCCGAAACTCTCATTTGGCGAAACACGAAAAAATACCTAAGCAACCGAATAACAGCAACTGCTTGGTCTGCTCTCATTTACGAGCGATCTGATGTTTCACTTTGCCTCTCTTTGGCCTCTGAGTAACAACGGAGCAAATTTTCAAAATATTATCTACAGCGAAACTGAATTGGCACGTTTCTGTTAGTTTGCACTCTTAAAGAGACAAATGCTCTGTTTGTAATTCCAAAATCCCCGTTGCTCTACGTGCTCTACATCACGAGAAATTACATGTTTTTACTTTCGCTGTTCATGCTGCGGGCGCAGATGTTCAAAAAACGCTCACATTTGAACCTGATAATGGACTTTTGCGAAACTGGAACTTGGCAAAACAGAAAAAATACCTTTGGAACCGAATAACAGCAACTGCTTGGTCTGCTCTTATTTAGCAGCAATATACCGATGTTTCAATTTGCCTTTCTTTGGCCTTTGAGTAACAACGGAGCAAAGAATCAAAAAATTGTCCAGAGCGAAACTGAAATGGCACGTTTTTGTCTGTTTGAACTCTTAAAGAGCCAAATGCTCTGTTTATAATTCCAAAATCCCCGTTGCTCTATGTGGTCTACGTCACGAAAAATGCCATGTTTTTACTTTTGCTGTTCATGCTGCAGGTGCAGATGTTCAAAAATCTCGCGCAGCGGAACCCGATGAAGAACATTTCCGAAACTCTTGTCTCCCAAAATGGGAAAAGTGATATTTGCAATTGAGAAACAACAACTGCGTGATCTGCTCTCGTTTAGAAAAAAGCCGATGTTTTCACTGTGCCTCCCTGGAATTGTCCAAGTATTAAACCGACTATAGCTGTGAAATGGATGGGAATATTGGAAATGTGGATATAATATTTTTGATAGAGCGTTTCGATAATCATCTTTTCCCATTCAGACTACAAATTTCCAATCTTTAAAAAAACATCAGGAAAAATCAAATTTTACGGAACCGTCAAAGTTTAATAGCTCCTCAGTGGGAAACGATGGAAAATATCGTGAAAATCCTCAGGACTTTTTTAGAAGAGCGTCTCTAGATTTCTGTTTCTCAAGGACAGAAGAAAAATTACAAAATCAGAAGAGTGTCTCTTGAGCTATATTTTCCTCTCTTTATCTATGATTTCTGAACTCTAAAAGCCACCTTCAAAAAATTCAAACCTTAAGCGAACGCCAATGTGAAGGAACAGGAAACAGTTCAGTTAGTTTGAGTTCTCTGCTTGAAATAGGTTTTCAAGAACCGGGTTTGTTTTTTTAAGTATTGTTATAAGTTCATTAGAAACTTTCAGATTTTTAAAGGCTCCTAGCGCCCAATCGACTGATAATTTATTGAATAATCACTGGTACACACGGATTCAAGGTCTGTTTTGGCCAAATTTGAATTTCATTATTGAAATTGTTCAAATTGAATTTTAATCACAATGTTCCCGTCTACTTAGGAAAATTAATAACACAACGTAAGAACTGTTTGCAGATGTTAAAAAAATATATTTTCTAAAAGAAACTAAGACTAAGACCGAAACAAACGCTCTAAATACAACTTCGAAAAATCTGGTTTCTGGTAAACAATGCCTGAGGAGGATCGAGCAACTTTCCAATAAAAATGGGGATTGTTTGGGGGTTTGAAAAAAATCCCCGGGAAATAAAGCGCCCCCTGAGCCGATAGTACGAAAATCAGTTAGGGAAATATGAATTTGCTCGTTGATGGTAAAGGCCCTGCCGCTTATCTGGCCGATTCATTTCCGTGTTTGAGTAGGAATCTGATGGTTTTATCGTGTTCAATATTTTAAAGCGAAATTGATGCTATTCAGATCTGGCTAAGATATGATAGATGTCCAGACCGACTTTGATATCAATAATCCGAAGGCAAAGGGCGACTTCAAGCTCGGTTCAGTAATAAATGTATATTGGCGTTGAATTAGGTTTAACGCGATAATCAGCAGCAATTCCGTTTGATAATATAGGAAACCATGACATAGGCTTTGGGCTGATTTGGGTTAATGATCTTGAGGAAATGTTCCTGCATAGGTGCGCCAGGTTGGAATTATTTCCGAGCAGGAATCGTGAAATTGGTGCAAAAATTCTTAGATATCTACACCTATTAATATCTACCCTTCCTGCTTCAAACTGAAACAAGTAATTAGACAAATGAGGAAACTTTTCCAATTTCGCCTAGCTATAAGGTAAAAAAAATATCAGACATTTCGATTAATCTTCTGATGTACTTTTGAAGTTCAGTTCAGCCTGAAATTGGCTGCCGTCTCATTGGGGGTTTGCCATTTAATTTTGCCTTTTGATTGCACCGAACTGGAGCTGGATACAATTTCGTGAAAGTTTTCCTATTTGATGTTGAAAGGGATGGTCTTTATCGTGGATAAAGTTAACGGAATCTATTTTATGTGCAAATAAATAATATGGGAAACAAAGTGCGTTTGCCCTGATGAACTTCCGGAAGTTCCCTTTCGTATCTAGTAACGAGCTCAAATTTCGTGCAAGAATGTTGAAATTTCGCTGGATACAATTTAATTCACTCGATTGAAATAAAGTTGAGAACTCGGTAACTAGCCAGCCTTGCAGTAGTTATAACAAGCTCTGGACAGGGAGTTCGAGCAGAAGAACTTCCAAGGCCCGTCACGCTAAAGTTTGCATGCTAAATCTCATCCAAAAGTTTCAACTCAATTAGAAAATTATGTAGTTTTTTTCCTAAACCCCCCACTCTTTTGCACTCACTACTAGAAGTATTTAAATAGAATAAAGATTTAGTTCAACAAATAGTATTTTGAAATCATCACGAATCTAGTTAGATTCTCGCGAGTTTCGCCAGGTTGTATAGAAACTTTCCAAACAGGAAAACTTAGTTGGAAATCAGCTTTTGAGGTTGGGATGATACATCTGAAAGCACTCAAGCCGATGTGTTGAGAAAGTTCGTCAAATATATACGTGCTTTTGCGTAGATTTTTGCTCAAATTCTCTGCTCAATTTTTACTTTATTTAGGAGGCGCCTACAGGATTGGTTTTGAGTCTATTAGCTCTCAACTCCCATCACAAAATCTTTTTTTTAATTCTTTCGGGTTATTTTACAAATGTTTGCAAAAAGCAATTAAATTAATTACGAATAAACTGCAGGATGGCCTTTCGCAGACAATATTGATTTTAGTCGAAAATGTATTTATGTTTAGTCTGTGTGAAGCAGCATATTTATCACTGCGAAATGCTCATCGGTTTTATTCTCTTTGGCTGCCACCTATTTATAGAGCGAAGCCCGTGATCTTGTAGTCATAATATCTGATTGTTACCTGTTAAACGCACATTAATAGCAACAAGAAAATGTACATCGTTTATTAAGGGGCTTCAAGTTAAACAAAGCGATAATCGCAGCCTAATTGGGCAAAGAACGTTTCATTGGGACGGGCTAACGTGAAACAAAGCTGTAAGAAATCGGCTCATTTTCATTGGGGTTTAGGTTTTAACTGCATTTCACCAGTTTTTGAGGATTTATTTGATATTGTGGGTAAATTTGCTCGATTTGTTTCAGCTTGTTGGTGGCGAGTTCGACATGGAATTGAATTTTGTGATCCAAGATGCTCAAAATATTCGTCACATGTTGGAGCTGCTCGATCATTGCCCTCCAAATTTGCAAGTAAGTCTTATGGTTTTTGTCTCTATATCGGATTTATTGAAACTGATTTGTGAAAATTTGTTTTGCGGTTTCGGTCAAATGGAAATTGGAGATTGTTTTTGCAAATCTCGAGTTTAATTTCTGGTTGGATTTCATAAAGTTAGCAAATGAACGGACACGCAAATATTTTGTACTCTGATTACTCCATTCGTTAAGTGGAGCGAAAAAAGCGCTTTTCATCAATATCGTGCTAACATAGAAGATGGAAAGCCAGTGATAGCTAGGTGATAAAACAAAAATTGCTGTGAGCAACCCCGAACTTTCAGATCCAATGTCCTTCATGTCTTCACTCCAAGCAACTTGGCCATTTGCAGCCCGATAAATATGCATTAGGTAATAGTTTTATTCCATTCCATTCCATTCCAAGCTTTCTTGTGTTCCGTTTCATTCCCACTCTTTGTGCTATCGTCCAACCTCAATCGCGCAAGTGGTTCGTACTTGCACCGCCAATTAATCCCATTTTCCCACTCAGGTGGAACCCGCGGGTGCGCCAAAGATAAAACTTGGCCAGTAAGATGTTCCGATTGGTAGTCTATTGATGAACAATGTGACTACTTTGCACCAATACTGCGCTTTAAATGCTTTTATGTAGGAGTGCAACCAATATGCGTCAGGCTTTGTGGGTTTTAAAAACCGCTCTTAGTCTTTGACTTATATTTAGATAACAAGTTGAGCTGCAGAGCTCTAGTTGTCACTGCAGGATAGCGGCTTAAATTGCGCATTTTCCTATATAAAACGTCATTCTAGAAATGTTTCTAGTTTTCACGTAACATGCAAAAAATTGAAATTATTCCGAGTTTTAAAAAGAGCACTTTGGCTTATATTTAGAGAGTCAGTTGAGCAGTACCTAAAGCTCTAGTTGTCATGGCGGGATAGAGCCCTATATTGTGCACCTTTCTATATAAAACATCATTTTAGAAATTTTTTAGTTTTCACGCAAAATGCAAAAATTCGAAAGTATTGCGAATTTTGAAAACCGCTCTTAGTCTTTCGCTCATATAAAGAGGAACAGTTGAGCTGTAAAGCCCCAACTGTCACTTTGTGATAGAGCCTAAGCTTGTGCACATTTCTATATGAAACATCATTTTAGAAATATTTCTAGTTCTCACACAAAATGCAAAAATTAGAAATTATTGCGAGTTTTGAAAACCGCTTTTAGTCTTTGGCTCATATTATCAGAACCAGTTGAGCAATGGCGCTCTAGATGTCACCACGGGATAGAGCCCTAAATTGTGCACCTTTTTATAAGAAACATAATTTTAGAAATATTTTTAGTTTTCACGCGAAATGCAAAATTTTGAAATTATTGCGAGTTTTGAAAACCGCTGTTAGTCTTTGGCTCATATAAAAAGGAGCATTTGAGCTGCAAAGCCCCAATTGCCACTTTGTGATAGAGCCTAAGCCTATGCACATTTTTAGATGAAACATTATTTTAGAAATAATTCTAGTTCTCACGCCAAATGCAAAAATTAGAAATTATTGCGAGCTTTGAAAACCGCTTTTAGTCTTTGGCTCATAGCAACAGAAATAGTTGGCAATGGCGCTCTAGAGCCCTAAATTGCGCACTTTTTTATATGAAACATAATTTTAGAAATATTTTTAGTTTTCACGCGAAATGCAAAATTTTGAAATTATTGCGAGTTTTGAAAACCGCTGTTAGTCTTTGGCTCATATAAAAAGGAGCATTTGAGCTGCAAAGCCCCAATTGCCACTTTGTGATAGAGCCTAAGCCTATGCACATTTTTAGATGAAACATTATTTTAGAAATAATTCTAGTTCTCACGCCAAATGCAAAAATTAGAAATTATTGCGAGCTTTGAAAACCGCTTTTAGTCTTTGGCTCATAGCAACAGAAATAGTTGGCAATGGCGCTCTAGAGCCCTAAATTGCGCACTTTTTTATATGAAACATAATTTTAGAAATATTTTAAGTTTTCACGCAAAATGCAAAATTTCGAAATTATTGCGAGTTTTGAAACCCGCTCTTAGTCTTTGGCTCATCTAAAGAGGAGCATTTGAACTGTAAAGCTCCAATTATCACTTTGTGATAGAGCCTAAGCTTACGCACATTTTTATATGAAACATCATTTTAGAGATATTTCTAGTTCTCACGCAAAATGCAAAATATCTAAATTATGGCGAGTTTTGAAAACCGCTTTTAGTCTTTGGCATATATTAACAGAACCACTTGGGCAATGGCGCTCTAGATGTCACAGCGGGATAGAGCCCTAAACTATGCACCTTTCTATATAAAACATAATTTTAGAAATATGTTTAGTTTTCACGCAAAATGCAAAAATTCGAAATTATTGCGAGATTGGAAAACTGCTCTTAGTTTTTGGCTCATAAAAAGACCAGTTGAGCGGTAAAGCTCCAGTTGTCACTGCGGGACAGTCTTGAACTGCGCCCTTTTTTATATGAAACTTCAATAAAACACCGCATAGATATGCAAATTATTTTAAATAATTAATTTCAATATAAAATAATTTTAAAGTTGTTAAAGTGTTTAAAGTGATGCGTTGCACGAAAAAACCTCAAGAAAACTTGTGTTGTTTGGCATAGAACAAGCAATAAAAGGGTGAAATAATTTTTTTGATAAATTATTAAGGCGCGGGATTTTTCTTCTAAAATTTTAAGACGGTTGATGAACCAAAAACATGAAGCATTTGGGCGTTGACATAAAACTCCGAAAAATTCATCGGTTTCTAGCCACCAAAACATCAATCTTCCTTATACTGCTCAAGTTCAGTTTCTTTAATATCATTAGTTTTTTTCCCAAAAAAGACGTGCTTCTAAAGTTGCTAAAGACTGAAAGCAGGCGAAAGTACGAAATGGCGAGTGAAAAACTTTAGGCCGTATTGAATTCCGACTCATGTGCTTTAAGGGCCAATTTGCGTGAAAATTTTACCGGAAATACTCCATATCCGCTACATGGAGGGTTGGCATCTGAAAGTATATTTATAAGAGGAAGTTTATTTTTCATAAGCTGGTTCCAATGGAAAAAAGCTCCATAACCAACAGCAATATAGCACATATATCTCCAAATTTTGCACATAAATCATTCGCGTTTTCCTACCTGGAATGGAAAGATTCTGATTATTTTCTTCTTGTCTTTGAAGCAGAATTCCACTTAATGCGTGAAACTGAAGGAGAAAACCGGGCGGTTTTGTGCAATTTGCAAAAAATACAGGAAAGGCCAGTGTTGGCAAAATGTAAATATGGACATTAAAATCCTCCCTTTTAGGACTTTTGAAGTTTCAAAATAAGATAACTCAAGCTAAAATTGTGATTAAAAAAAAAAGAAAATATTCCTCCATTAGGAAGGGTTGCTGAAACCTCTTTTTTGGAGAAATATGACTTTGCAAAAACATGAATCCCGAACAAAATCGTTAGAATGAATTAATCATTTGTTACAGCTTTGGGGAAAAGTTGGCAGTTATTCATAAAAATATCTGGTCATTTGGTCAATTGTTCGAGCTTTTGTTAATTCGTTGTTTGTCTGACCCATAATAATCAGTCAAACCACCGCGCTGAAAAGCATCGAATTATCTTTCTCTCATAAATCGATTAAAGTCGCTCGATGGTCGAAAAATTAATACAATTTTCTGATCTGTTATTTCGCTCCCGGAAAACCTTATTGGATTATTGGATTCTTGAACTGGTTGAAAGTTTCTTAAACCATCTGGGGCTGAGTTGACGGCAGTTTCTGATTGGATTTGAGGCAGCCGAGGAGTTAAAAGGAACACAACTCCTTGCGGTTTGAGGAGTTTCCACGATTTAGTCGTGGGCGTTAATTTTCACTAGTTCATATTTCACATCCATTTGTCTTGCCGCAGCCGACAGACATACGGAACAAAAATTAAAACATTAATTTAATCTCAAGGGTAAAGCTTGACAAATAATAGTCTCCATATTGGGCGCCAGATGCATGAAGAGCGAGTCTCGCTTGGCGCCATTTTGTCAGCCACGAAATTTCGATTCGGGACAAAGGCATTCTCGTTTGGCAAATTGAGCAGGCGAGATGGGAAAATGTTAAGTAAATGGACCGGTTTTTCATCGCCTGGAATGTGTGCAAAGTCCTCATAAGTAATCACTTTTTCCCCACTGACTGAAACCCTTTTCCTGCTGAAAAAAAAATGACTAGCAAACCATGTTTCCGCTACTACCGAGACACAATATGGTCCCGTGAACCTCTAATCTGGAATAATGCTACTAGCAAGGCGAAACGTGTTGGTTTTGTTACCCTAATTATTGTGCCCCCTTTACGCTCTTAGTTAGCTAAATATATTCACCTAAGCCACCGCTTGCCATCAAGTTTACCGTGCCACATTCAAATTCGGTTTTGTCACATCCAAATTAATCGCCTCAATGATTTATAATTAGCTTTCCCTAAACGATAACTGAGAATTAAAACTGGCGTTTTTTTAGTATTTAAATTTGCTCAGTTTGGTTGAGCCCATCAAGATCAAGTTGTTTCTTTTGATCGTGTTGAGGATGTTGTTATAATTATTATTTAATCCAACCCAACTTGCCCACTAAACTGCAGCATTTTGCACTTTGGAGAAAAGCTGCTAAAGTTTAAACTAGACCCTCAAGTCCTGGACTTTGAATTCCTCACGTTGAAGATTTTTTCACTTCTTGACAACGATGGTTACAGCCCTTATTGCATCATGAAAGTTTCCTTAGCCTAACAGGCAAAGGATTAATTCCGATCGTCCCCTTTAGTTGATGGATCCTGGAAACCCTGTCTTGTTAAGTGGGAGCTTTTTTCATCGAAATCCATTTTAACCCTATAAATATATAAGCCTTCTTTAATAAGTTCACTTTCCCACCAAAGACAATTAATAACCGAAAGTGGCCGAAGCATCTGAACTTTTAATCACCTATCGCCTCTTTTAGGAGGGCGATTAAGTGTTCATTTTTGTTGCCACTCAAGATCACTCTTGGTCTTTTCTTCCAGCG